TCTCTCTCTCTTTCTCTTTATCTCTCTTTCTCTCTCTCTCTCTTTCTCTCTCTCTCTCTCTCTCTCGCTACCCATCCTCTTCTCTTTTTCCGTTTCCCCTCTTCCTCTATTTCTTTCGTTCTGCCTCTCGTTTTCAGTCGTTGACCTTCTCTCCCACGTTCTCTTTCTTCACATCTCTCTTAGTGTGTGCGTGTGCTGTGGTGGTGCACATGTCGTTCACATGTGCATTCAGCAAGTTAAATCATTTTAATGCACTAAGGAATGTTTGTATATTCAGCGTGATTCGTCGTGGCGCGCGTCTGCGTGCCTACCTACCTACACGTGCGTTCTCTCGCCATGATACACTTGTACCGATATCGATAACCGATGATTGATTATTGATGTGCTCCGCGTGTGCAGTTCTGGGCTGCCTACACGAAATGTGAGACACGGTACACGAGCAGCGTCAGGGGCGTGCTGGAGCAGATTGACGTCATTAAACGCTTCGTACGCAAATACGATGACGTGTTCGAATTCGTCACCTCCACTCAGGGTGAGTCACTCTTACAGAGATCCAGTCGTGGAATTATATAGAGATACGAGTATAGTCTAACTAGTATATTATTTCTATGGATTCATATCAACGGCTGCTGCCTGCTGCGTCCTCATCCCCATCCTCATCCCCATCACTCTTATCCCAACCTATACCGATATCTCTATCCTCATCCTCATGCCTGTCATCATTTTCATTCTTATCTTTGTTCTCTTTTCTCTATTTCCATCTTCATGCTAATCCCAGTCCATATCCTCACTATCATCCTCATCATTCCCACCATGACCCTGATCATAATTTCCATCTCACCCCATCTTTATTCTCCTCTTCTGCCTTTTCCTCTTCTACCTTCTCCTCCTCCTTCTCCTCGCTTCCTCTTCCGCCTCCTCCTTCTCCTCCTTGCCTTCCTTCTTCTCCTCATCCTCTTCCTCCTGCTGCGGCTCCTCGCCATCCTCCTCCTCCTCCTCTTCCTCCTTCTCCTCCTGCTCATCCTCCTCCTCCTCCTCCTCCTCCTCGTCATCATCATCCTCATACCCACCATCATCCTTAAATTCTACTTGTCATCATCTGCTTGCATATAGGAATCCGTGAAGCCAAAGCGAAGCAGAAGATCGCTAGTCTCGTCTAATATAATTTTTAATTGTTGTAAAAATTAATTGTTGTTATTAAATTGTTGTAAATAAATCATGTAAATATTTGCGTTAATTGGAAAAAAATTGTCAAATGGATAAAGATAGAAAAATACAGACAACAGGAAAATAATTAAAAATCGGATGGGATTCGATCCCCCGACCTTTCAGCCTTTAATAGCGTGCGCTACTCGCTTGCCTATTGAGGAATATGTAATTATAAATTTTGGATGTGCTATAAATATCACGATACTGTGACGTCATTGAGTGACGGAACAAGCTCAACCAATAGCAGCGCTCACTAGAGCCCTATGTTCTTGATTGACCTAGGAAAAAAAATCACGCGTGCGGCCCGGCATATTAGATAGTACCAGGGTACGTTCCGGCAGTACCCTGATGGCAGGGGCGTAAATCCCGGGGGGATGGGGGGATGCATCACCCCGCTCTTTAAGGAGGGGGGATGACCTGAACAAATATCCCCCCTGAGATTCAAAAAAAAGAGAGAAAAAAAAATAGCCAAAAAGTATGGTTGCAAACATACAAAAACACGTGAAATTTTGAGAAATTGCAATTCTTACCTGTGTTTTAATACATGTATTATTACTATATAGTAACCTAACTGTGTACGCTCTCTGAAAAGTCATGAAAAGTGTTTTGAATCCTAACTTGTAGGGTTGAGTATAGGGTTGAGATAGTGTCATCAGACATGAGAATATGGCCCACAGTATGCCTCAGATTGCAGGAAAATGGCTTAAATATTTCAAAATTTTCTGGGGGGCATGCCCCCAGACCCCCCTAGCACTAGCATGCCTACGGCACGCGGGCCTGCCTACGGCACCCAAGGTTAATTTCGCCCCGGCTATCGCCGATCATCCCTCCCACTCCTCGGTACGGATTTACGCCACTGCCTGAGGGACATAGACTCTCTCAGCCTAAGTAAGGGGCCAACGTGAGCCTGGCCCTCCTCCATGTGCGGAGCTAGATTAGACCGGACTAGCGCGTATTTAGCGCGGGATAGCGTGTACACATGGCAAAAATTTAACCCGGGCCTGTCCCGGACGCGAGTATTTTTTTCCCAGTCGACATAACATAGCGAAGAATTTAGCGCCTTCTGATTGGCTGCTTCGATTTGCTTTGTGAGCGAGAGAGAGAGAGACTCGGGGAGAGAGAAACTCGGGGAGAGAGAGAGGTGGGAGACTGAGGAAATGCGGTAGGATAGATTGAGGGCGGTAGAAGAAGAGGGAGGCTCAGCGAGGAACAAGGGAGGCGAGGGGAGGGAGTCAAGTATGAGTTTTGCACCCAACAGGCTAGGGCGCTCTCCAAATTATAAACACATGATCACTGATAACAATTTACTACAAAAATCTGTGCTGAGATACCCCCTAACCATATTAAATGCGTATTGATAACAAAATATAACTCTCTTGGTGAGATAATGCGCATGCGCTAACATGCAGACGTGGCCAGATTGTGTACTGACTGGTATATACAGCAGGCACCTTACATGCAGCTAGGGACTTCATCCCATTTATTAAGAGAGGTCTACAGATAAAATGTTATCATATAAATCTATGCTAGGATGTCTTCTCTCCATTTTGAAAGCATAATTTTCGCAAAGTATCATTCTTTTCGGGAGATATCGCGCATGCGCGAGCATCTCGTTCCATGGGTGCAGTGCAGACTGAAAAAAACTGCATAATATAGCTTGCTGGGAGAGGGAGGGGGGGCAGACCAATGAAATGGCGCAGGAAAGATCGTTGAGAGCAGTAGAAGAAGAGGGAGGCTGAGCGAGGAACAAGGGAGGCAAGGGGAGAGAAGGGAGGGAGTGAAGTATGAGTTTTGCACCCAACAGGCTAGGGCGCTCTCCTTATTATAAACACAGAATCACTGATAACAATTTATTACAAAAATATGTTCTGGGATGCCCCCTAACCATATTAAATGCATATAGACTATAGACAAAAAGTATAGATCCAAAGCAATGCCCCAGAGTAGATTCGCTATGCCCACTCTGGGGGAACTTCTGGCATGCAAGCGAACCATCCATTCCGCTAGCGAGGTTACTCACCGAGTCCGTTTGACTCCATGCGTGAAGCCGTGTTTACTGTATCTCCGAAAAGACAATATCGAGGCATCTTCAATCCTACAACCCCGGCGACGGACGGACCTGTACGAATAGACGGTGCATGTATTCCTCTACACCCCCCACGCACGACGAAACGACGTCCACACGACGACGCCTCGCTCTGGGAACCAATTAATAAACTAGCTTATATTAATTATATCGCGTTTCCATTGGATTGCTATTATCGCCGGAGATAGTATTACACGTTTCAAACTGGGTACTATAAAAACGGTGAAGAATGAAGAGGAAACGAGAAGAAAGAGGAAAGATAGAATAATAATCCGGTGAATGAAAGAGCGTGAAAGAGAAAGAGAAAGAGAGAGAGATATAGAGAGACAGGAAGAGAGAGAGAGAGACAGGAAGAGAGAGAGAAAGGGAGAGATGGAGATGAAGAGAGAGAGAGAGAGAGAGAGAAAGACAGAAAGAGAGAGCGAGAGAGACAGAAAGAGAGAGAGAGCGAGACAGA